TGAATTAGACAATTCCTTTTGTTTGTGGCCCTAAAAATATAATGTAAGTCTTTTATTTTTGCCATCATTTAAGTATACCTATTTATATTTACAAAACTTTGGGCGTATTACGTTGATCTTGTTTTCTTATAATAAATGATGTTTAAATATTTGACTTATAAATAAAAACTTTAAATAATAAATAATATTTACACATGTTTGGCTTTAATCTTATTTATAATAATTGTATAAATTATACTGTTAAATCTTATTTTTTACACATCACAACGATACTTGTTATTAGTACTGTTGAGTTAGTGTAAAAAATAAGATTTAATAATCAAATTTAATTAAAAGCCCACGCTTCGATCCATTTAAAACAAGCCCTACTCAATAGATGGCGCCACTTCTGTAGAACCATTTTTCAGTATGGTCCATTCTTTTTCTAGCTAGGTATATTCTTTGGTATTCATTTTTGGCAACGTGATTGACAGTAAAAAAAGTCATTTTAACGCATAGGCATAAAAGTGAAGCACTTTTACGCCCAAGCACAACAGTACGAAAATATAATATTAAATTAACATGTCAAATTCAACGAGCCGTAACCATAGTTTCTCGATATACAGGGTGTCCCAGAAATAAGTGCAAGTATTTTAACTGATAGTATAGTTCAACCCGAGAAACCTTCGAGAAACACGCCTATGAGGTTTTTTTCACGAAAAAATGAAAATTCGATTTTTTTTACTTTTTGTCTCTAAGTCTAATTTTATCAATAGATTAAAATTTTAATTAAACTTTTGTATAATAAAAATAAATCTAACTGCTTTCATCAAAACCAAATCCGTATTTTGTGCTTATTAGCTTTAAAACAAGCGAAGAAAAGGGTAGTAATTAAGCCCAAAAGAGCAGCCAGGACAGGAGCGCATCGAAAGGGCCAATCATTCGGACGATTACACTCGAAACGGGTCCCTTTTGGCAAAGTTTTTTGAATGGGGAGCCCTTCAAACTGCTCTCCCTGACCCTAGAGGGCGGCACTGCGGATCTTTTGACTTTCCATTACCAGATATCATAAATTCGATATGAATTTATATCGGGAGTAATGGTAAAACGGGTTAAAATATACTCGCTGAAAAATTATTTTACTCTGATTTTTCTCCTTATCATTACTATAATCTACCGTAAGATCGAAAAAAAAATAATAACCATCGATAAAAATTTTGGCGAGGTTCCTAGACGTCATTTACTAAAAATGGACATAATACTTGTCAAAAAATTAACACTATTTATAGAAGGATTAAGCCAATAGCAAGGACGTAGTGACGTGTAGGGCTTGACCTCACGAAAATTATTACCGAATATCATTCGTCAGCCGTCTTTGACGCTCTTTTTTTTTCGGTCGTATGGTATTTTAGAATTTTGTTTAGTATTTTATAGGATCAAATGCAAGTACTACAGTACTCTAACACTAAGAGTATTAGGTACTCCCAATTTTTTTTCTAACACTAAGAATATTAGGTACTACCAAAAAAATATTTTTTGTCACTTTTAAAGACAAGAATCAAGACAAATCTCGTACTAACTATAAATATACCTAGCCCCAGTTTTAAAAATAGACCTTTTAAAAAGTCGTACCACAGGTCGTACGCTGCACGAATTAAGGCCATATTGGGCTTTGGAGTGGTGGAAGTTTCATGATGGCAGTCGCTGTAATATCCGGTAAAGCAGCCAGATGTACTATAAGGGCTGTCCAAATAAGGGTCTCAAGGTCACACAGCTCAGATATTAGTAAGGAAATAATAGAAAAACTGATTTTTTCCTTGAGGAAATGGAACATTTTTTTGTACAGATTTATGTATTTATTTTGGCAGGAATTTCTTATAATTTGTATCATGTTAGTGTAATTTTTTTTTACAAAAACGCCACAAAAGTATTAATTTTCGTGACGTGGTTCAACAATATAAAAAGATCATTTTAACGCCTATAGGCATAAAAGTAAAGCACTTTAACGCCTGAGCACAATATACAGGGTGGTCCGAACTGTATTCCGGAAACTTCGGCAGCATATTCTGCAGATAAAAATAAGTAAAAAAGTTCTTATAAATATATGTTCTAAAATGCGTAGTTTCAAAGACACAGGGTGTAGAAATTTCATTTTTATTTCGATTTTTCCAAATAATTTCTGAAGTAACGTCAATATTTCGATAAAAATTGGTGTCTGGGAGTTTTTTGACTTGAGAAATTTGATTTTGATGTCAATATGACTCCTAGTTGTAGGGGGCGCCACTTACATGTGTTTTAACTCTTTTGAAGAGTAATAACTTTTCGTCGGTACCTGTATAAAACTATTGAGTAAAAAATATACATTTACGACGTTTTTTACGTAAAAAAGGTCTCTTGGTAAAAATCGTTACAAGTAATGGTTCTCGAGATATTTGAAATCGAAATTATCAATACCGATCATCATTGATATAAATTAACCATGTTGACCAAATAGTTATTAGACTGAAACCATGAATTTGAAATGTTTTTGTGCCAAAAGTTCAGCAGAAACTGTTTTTCGTACAAAAATTTATGATTAATTTAAAAATATAAATGTTTCCCAAATTTATTATTTCGTTCAAATAACTATATCTACTCAACGTGTTTATTTTTTGTCAATAATGACACGTATTGACATGCTTTGCTTTAATGCCTAGGCATTAAAATGACGTTTTTATATTGCCAATCATTGTGTCAAAGATGAATAATTTTGTGACTTTTTTGAAGGCTTTGGCGAATCTTTTTTTAAACTTATTTTTTTATCGTCAATTTTATTTTTAATTTATCTGAAAAAAATGGAAAAATACTTTTATACTGAACAAATAAATAATTAATATTAAATTTAAACGGCCCTATTAAAACATAATAAGACTTTACTTTTCTTCAATAACACATTAGCAAAAATGAAATCAAAACGAATGTAGTAGAAGGTAGAAAAAAAGCAATAACATAGAAAAAAATAAAAATCGGTATACCCAAAAGGGCTGCTGCCTTTTTTAATCGATCCCTTCCTCTGTGTCGTAGGGTTAACGACCCCGACATCCTGGGCAACCTCTGGCTTCAGCCCTTAAAATGAAAACTTTAAATTGCACATCTAGAATTTCAGTCGAGCTCAGTAGAATTATTTGGTCTCTTTTAATTAATTTTCTCTATGGTTTTTTCGCTGTAGTTACTACTATATCAAGTGTCTTTCTCTGTAAAATTTTTGTAGTGTTTATTTTAAGTTAATATGTTGATTAAAATAAAAAAAAATATAGTTACTATATGAAATGTAAAAATGAAGTTCAATATATTTTGTTCTAATGACCGGACTTTGATGATTTTTTAAGCAAATTGTAGCTAAATTATTTGAATTTTTTGGCCTCTTTTCAAATTAAAAATTAAATTCTTCATCTGCCTACTATACGAGGGGAAAGAAAATGTGGTTATTTTGGCGAAAGTTTGAAACACTCTGTGGAGTGATTTAACAAAGTAAGGAATGTAAAAATCGCTTTATCATCAAGGTGCATATTTTCCCGGCAATTTGTTTTTTGATTCATCTCAATAACTTTATTTTTGTTGGTGATATTCGCTCTTGAAGAAGACTGTAACAATTAATATAAATTTTAGCATTAAAAGCATGTTTTTGTTTTGTTCCATGCACACGTTGTTCATCAGCACACCCATGAAAATAGAGTTTATTAATTTTCTAATGATATTATTATGAAAAAGTCATACTGTTAAAGTTTGTTGAAAGTTACTCTAGGGAAGATGGTTTTAAATTCAGAAGTTATATCGACTATTATTGGGTTAATTGCATTTAACATAGTACTATAAAAATAAATACATAAATGCCTTTATTGTCAAAAATTTTTTCAATTTGTAGACAAAGGTAAACTAAACAAACAAAGTAAACAAACAAGGTACACAAACAAACAAACAAAAGATAATACAAATAATATTGTCAGTCTTATTGTTTAAAATAAACATTTATAAATGTTTACAATTTCAAAGAATAAAAAAATAAAAAAAATAAAAAAAAAAAAATAAATAAAAAAAAAATAAAAAAAAATAAACAAATAAAAAAAAAAAATAACTGATTAACTTCTGGATTTAAAACCATTATTTGTCCTAGAGTAACTGTAGATTTTGTAACTGTAGCATTGACAGATTTTGCATTGACAGTGACATTCGAAAAACAATAAATCCTATGTCATAGGTGTGCTGATGAGGATCAAAAGCAACGGCTTTTAATGCTAAAGTTGTTGTAAAATTCCATACTGTATTAAACTATTCTACAGGGTGCTTCAAACTTTCGCCAAAATAACATTTTTTTTTTCATTTGCATAATAGACAGTGATAGGGATTTTACCTTTTAATTTGACAGAGGCTAAAAAGTCAAATAATTCAGCTACAAATTGCTTTAAAAATCATTAATTTAGTTATATTATCATATTGCAATATCGTAACACATATTTGAGACATAAAGAGTTCTAAAAAAATGCCAAAGAATAAAAAGAATTGAAATCTACGCCTATGTATATTAATTCTTGGGGTAGTTTAGTCTAGGATCGATTTAATATATACAATTCTAAACGGCAACCCCGGATAACACGTGGTTCATATAACGTTGACAGCTGCCGGATAAGCCACGCCCACCTTTCGTTGGTGCCGCTGTTTCTCAGTGATGGTACAGTTTTAGTATTACGATATTTACCTGCAGATTAATAATTTTTTCCAACCCAATATTTGTTATTAACAAACGATTTAACATAAAAAAATCCTAACTCATTTTCTCCTACATAAAACTTTTAAATTATTAAAGTCTGTTTGTTGATGTAATGGTTTTTACTAAAGAAAACCAAATAACACTATTAATACTTTTAGTAGGTTCTAAAAATATATTTTACATTTTTTATTTTTCCTATTCCTGCTTTATTTTCCTTTGCTTTTTCAGTTAGCTTCCTTTTTATTTATTTTCGTTTTTATCTTTTCTGTTCTAGAATCTGTATGGCGAGCCATACATGCGGGGCGAGTCGAGGCGAGGTCGTGGAAAAGGCCGAGGTGGATCGGTAGGTGACTTTTTAATTTTATTTTAGTTTATTTATTTCGATTTTTAGTTTGTTCTTTTTACCCCTTTGAAACTACCCACCTGTTTGCAGTGAGCTTTAATTCCCTAGTTTAGTTTGGTGTAGGTTTGTATATTGATTTGGTACAACCACAGATTTTAGTAGTGATTGTGTTTTTGTGTGTGTGTGTTATTTTTAATGAAAACGCGTTTGCTTTTATTAAGCTCACATACGTATCTGTCAAATTTAACGTTTAAAGTTAATGGTTAAAGATGGATAAGAAACGGGTTTTCTAGGCAAATTTCCAAAAAATTTATTTGAAAAGGTTGTTTTTTTTAATTTTACATAAATAGACAAATTTTTGAACCATTTAGATGATTTTTTTTGTTATTTTTAACCAATAACTACCATCTAACCATCTATGAAAATATGAACCCTTCCTGGACACAAACGGTACATTGTGAGACAGGAAATTGTAGAGAGAAACAAGCCCTATAACATAGGATACAACATTTTAATGAACAGTGCTTTCCATAAAATCAATAAAATGAAATATATACGAAATAATATACATGTTCTGATTTCTTTCGAAAATCGACATCTATGAAACTATGAACCCTTCCTGGACACAAACGGTACATTGTGAGACAGGAAATTGTAGAAAGAAACAAGCCCTATAACATAGGATACAACATTTTAATGAACAGTGCTTTCCATAAAATCAATAAAATGAAAAATATACGAAATAATATACATGTTCTGATTTCTTTCGAAAATCGACATCTATGAAACTATGAACCCTTCCTGGACACAAACGGTACATTGTGAGACAGGAAATTGTAGAGAGAAACAAGCCCTATAACATAGGATACAACATTTTAATGAACAGTGCTTTCCATAAAATCAATAAAATGAAAAAATATACGAAATAATATACATGTTCTGATTTCTTTCGAAAATCGACATCTATGAAACTATGAACCCTTCCTGGACACAAACGGTACATTGTGAGACAGGAAATTGTAGAGAGACAAGCCCTATAACATAGGATACAACATTTTAATGAACAGTGCTTTCCATAAAATCAATAAAATGAAAAATATACGAAATAATATACATGTTCTGATTTCTTTCGAAAATCGACATCTATGAAACTATGAACCCTTCCTGGACACAAACGGTACATTGTGAGACAGGAAATTGTAGAGAGAAACAAGCCCTATAACATAGGATACAACATTTTAATGAACAGTGCTTTCCATAAAATCTATGGACATCTATATACATATAAAATAAAACAACTTTTCAAATGAAGTTTTTCGAAATTCTGCCAGCTGCCTGTAAACCCGCTTTGTAGTCTTGTGATACATTAAATGTTAAATTTTGGAGATATAAGGATTTTAATCTAAATTAAAGCAGAAATCTAAGTCAACGAATACAAAAGTTTCATATGATGCCATTTCATACTGACTTTATCTGCGACAGTGTATAAATCTAACTTAATAAACAATTCAAAAGCAATCAGTGTAAATGACACAAATATTTACACATTTTCGTCATCATACGTATGTAGAATTGGAATAAAAACTTTTTATAAAAAAGTGATAATCGTATCCAGTAAAATTATGAAAAAAATAACTTCATTTTATTTAAGCTAAGACGCGTTTATTATTGACGACCTAAGAATGCCATGAACTAACTAGCAAGTAAACTTTCAAGAAGATAGTATATTTTTTACAACCCCCTTTACTTTGATAGATAAGCAAGATAATTACTATTAATAATTAATATAAAACCAAATTGAAACTTTAGACAATAGAAACTGACAGATAAAAACACCTAAAATATACAACTTGGTTAAAAGTTGTTATTTACTCTAAATTAGTGAGAGAGAGACAACTAAAAGTGATAGAACAAGATAGAGCAAAGCGTCGAAAGCAAAAGTGATGCATACATACATACATACATACAGCCGTTACTCGCTGACGAGTATTCGACACACATAAAGAAAATGGTCACGCAAGGCGTTTTCTTTCATGAGCTTTTCTGTGACTGAAAAGCCCGATACGTGATGTTATCTGCCTACCGCACTCCGGACATTCAAAAATCTCATTGCTTTGTTGCCTCTCTACTTTTTGGTTGCCGCTGTTAACTGAGTTTACAACCCTTCTCCATTGAGTTCTATTGTGAGCTGCTTTTTCCCACTCATTCTGCATGTTAATTCCCTTTAAATTTTCGTGGAAAATGTCCTTGTATCTTTTCAGTTGTCCACCCGGCCTCCTCTTACCGTCCACAAGCTCACCGTAAAGCAGAGATTTTGGTATGCGGTTTTCTTGCATTCTGCATACGTGACCAGCCCATCTTAAGCGGGATTTTGTGACCATGACTTCAATACTCTCGCAGTTAGATTTTTCAAGGACCGATACGTTTGAGACATGATGGAACCACCGGACTCTTAAGAGTTGTCTAAGGTGTCTCTGTTGCAACTTGTTCAATGCGTTCATGTGTCGGCGGTAAGGCACCCAGGTTTCGCTCCCATATATCATGGTGGGGATTATAATTGCTCGGTATACTGCAAGTTTTGTTTTTGTACTCAAGTCATGATTGTAGAAAACCCTGTCTTTTAATTTCCAGAATGCCCTTGAGGCGCTACTAATCCTGTGCTGAATTTCAGAGTCAATATTGGCCTTTTCCGAAATCAAACTGCCAAGGTAATTGAATTCCGCCACATATTCCAATAGTTCTTCTCCGATTTTTATAGCATTGTTGTGATCTTCCGGGTGAGTGCACATGATTTTAGTTTTGTCGATGTTTAGCTTAAGGCTCAAAGCCTCGTATGCCCAGGTATATGTGTTCAACATTTCTTGTAATTGTTGTACCGTGTTTGCAACTAGAGTGCAGTCGTCAGCGTATTGAAGTTCTGTGATAAATTTTGTACGTGTTTTTGCCCTGAGTCTTTTTATGTTGAACAGACCGCCGTCATATCAGTATCTAATGCCCAATCCTCTCTCCTGCAGTTTGCTGTCCACTATAATGGAGAGCGCTGCCATGAATATGTTGAATAGGAGAGGCGCTAAGACACATCCCTGCCTAACTCCTGTATTTGTTAGGAATGGGTCTCTCAGTGATCCATGATGTGACACTCTTGACTTGTTGTTTTGGAGGCTTTTACACACTGTAAGAAATTTGTTGGGTACTCCGAACTTTTCCATAATTGCCCAAAGCGCATCTCTGTTCACAGAGTCGAAGGCTTTTGTTAGATCGATGAATGCAACATAAAGTTTAGACTCCTGCTCTTTTACTTTTTCCTGTAGTTGACGGATGGAAAATATGGAATCGACGGTGCCGCGGTTGGTACGAAAACCCCTTTGCGATTCTGGAAGGATTTTTTCTATATATGGGTGCAGGCGGTTTGACATTATTTTTGCAAGAATTTTTCCGCCGATAGCCAATAGCGAAATTCCCCGGTAATTTCCGCAGTCTGATGCACTTCCTTTGTTCTTAAATATATTCACTATATTCGCGTTCGAAAATCCTGAGGTACCTCTCCGCTTTCCCATACGACATCAAAGAGAGCCTTAAGATGACCAATAAGTTCTTTACTTGCACACTTATAGATTTCCGCCGGAATATCGTCACAGCCAGCTGATTTGTTGTTTTAAGCTGTTTTATGGAGGTCTTTATTTCTTGTTCTGTTATTGGGATGTCTAATACATCGAGGCTGTTATACTGAGGTATTGTGTTTAATGCTTCCATATTGGGGTTGTTTTCTTGGTTAAGGATATGGCTGTAATGTTCTTTCCAGCGATTTCTAATTTGTTCTTCCTCTTTAGAAGTTCGCCATTTTGAGCCATGATTGGGCAGCTTACCTTCTTAGTTGGGCCGTATACTTCTTTTACAGCCTCGAAGAATTTACGATAATCGTGATGCGTGGCGTACTCTTGAATCTGATTCGCTTTTTGTGACCACCAGTTATCCTTTACTTGGCGCAGTTCTCTTCGAAGCGTGTTGTTGGCTGCTTTAAAGTTGTCTACCAGTCTTGGATTATGTGGATTTGCAGTGACGGCTTGATATGCTCTATGCTTTTGTTCCAACAAAGCCTGTATATGCGGTTGATTTTCGTCAAACCAGTCTGGTTGTTTCTTTTTGTTCGACTTTCCCAGTACTGCTTCGCTGGTTTTATGAATCGCATCCCTTAATTGTGTCCAGCCTTGTTCAGCTTCCAATACTGAGATTGAAGTTATCGGTGGAAGTGATTCTTTGATGGCTTCCCGGAGGGCGTCGGCGGTATTGTTGTTTTCTAGACCCCGTACGTTCAATCTGGTCATGTTGTTTTGCTTTTTACAGCGTGGATGTTTGGGTTTTAACTGGATTTTCATTTTTGAAATTAAAGTCGGTGGTCAGTGCCGCATTCGGCATCTACTCTAGCTTTTGTGAGCCTAACATCTTTTAGATGCGTCCTTCGAACGATTATGTGGTCCAATTGATGCCAGTGGCCTGATCTAGGATGTTTCCAGGTACCTTTAAACTTGTCCTTCAACATGAACCACGTATTGGTGATGCAAAGATTATACTCTGCGCATGTTGTTAATAAGCGTTCACCATTGCTATTTGCGTTTCCCATTCCATGTTTTCCCAATACGTCAGGCCATATTTCCTGTTGTTTGCCTACACGGGCATTAAAGTCACCTAGCAAGATGATTCGTTCGTGCTTTGGAATTCGTTGAAGGGCATTTTGTAAGGCTTGGTAAAATTTATCCTTATCTTCAATTTTAGCGTCAAGGGTGGGAGCGTAGGCACTAATGATGTTGACGTAAGTTTTGTCTGATATGGGGTACCTTAGGGTCATAAGACGTTCGGAGACACCAATAGGTACTTCTGTTAACTTGGTGGCGATTTCGTTTTTGATCGCAATGCCTACACCATGAATTCTCCTGTGTGTTGCGGGATGACCTTTCCAAAAGAAGGTGTAATGCTCCTCAGTGAGACTACCTTCATCTGCA